TCTGCTGGAAATCAGGAGCTGATAATCAACGGCAGCCTGGCGAATTTGGGTTGAGAGAAATGAAGGTTAATAGCAATAATGATGAAGCTCCCTGTAATTATCCACATTACTCAGGAGAATTCCTGTTTCACCCATCGCCTGATCAGAAAAGGAACAAACGCTGTCAACACTAATGGCAATTATGGGGAGTTTTCTCACCAAGCTGCAGGTGCTCCCGCCCCACCCCAGCCTCCTGCCACTGCAGCCTGTCGGAAAGCAGAGGCTCGACTGGAAAAGCGAGTTGCTGCAGCGCGGGGCTCGCGCCGCGGCAGGGCCCGCGCTCCAACCCAGGGCGCTTGGCACGGCCCGGAGCCCCCGCGCCGGCTGCCCGGGCTGGTGTCGGGATCGGGTACCTGCCGGCGCTTGCACAAGGACGGCGTGACAGGTGAATCCGGACGTGTCTGGAAATGCCCTTTCGGTGACTTCATCTTTCTCTTCTCGTCCTAGCCCCAGCTTCCACTCCCAACGGCAGCTCCGATTCTCACCAACGCCAGGAGCCCTTTTCCTCCTAGGTTTGTCCTCTCTGACAACCAGGCTGCATGTAGCAGGGGAGCAGCTCTGATCCACAGCGCAAATTCAGCTTCTGCACCACAGCAGGACTTAAACCAGCCTCTTAGGTGCAGGAAGGGAAGACTCCTTCCCTGTCAGGAAAGGAAATCCTTCGGTCTAGCAGCAGACTGGTATTGAGCCACAGCTTAAATAAATGGGCATGACACGTAGTCTTCGCAAAAACAGTCTTTTGCCATCTCACTGGATTGCATAAATCACTTTGGGAAATAACAGCCCCAACATGCACCACATGTCTACCCTGGAAGAGCTTCCACTTGAAAGAGTTTTCACTTTTCCCATCCTTTTTAAGCAAATCTGGCCAAAACATATTCAGGAAGCAACTTTTTTTTTTTTTTTTTTCTTTTTCCCTCCTCCCCTCCGCTCCAACCATTTTCTTTTAACACGGCAGTAAGACTAAGCAGGTCATATTCACAAAAAAAAAAAAAAAAGAAGAAGAAGAAAAAAAGTCTCCCAAAATAACTATCATTCCAAAGTAAAAACACAAACAGCCTATCCCGGATACTCAGTATCCAGGACAACTGCAGCGGCCCAAAGGGCAGACGCCAGCTCCGACTCGGAACGTAAGGCAGACCGGAACCGTGAAACAAGCGGCCGCTCGCTTGGTCCATCACTACGCTGCTTCCACTGCCCCCCTCTCCCATCCCGGCAGTTTTCAGGTGACTTGCAATGAGTGAGCCGCCTTATTAGGCGCAAAAAGGAGAAAAAAGAAAAAATAGAGAAGTCACAAAGGTAGTCAAAGCCTGCTGGTCCTTGGTGTTTTTCAAGCGCTGTGAGGCTGCGCAGGACTGACCCCCGCGCAGGGCGCGCGTAGCTCAGACAGGCCCACGTGGATTCACCTCGCCTGGACGCCGAGAAGGGCGGGAAGCCGCTCGAACGCGTCGCCCCTTCCTCCCGCACGCGGAGGCATTTCCTCAACGAGGCTGAAGCGCCCCTGCATCACGTTCATTGCAAGTGATGGAAGGCAGCAAACTTTTCCCTCCTGTTCCCTCCTGTGCTTCCAAACGGCAGGCTCAGAGCTCAGTTCATCCTATTGCAACCTCCGTGCGAGCTCCCGCTGCTTTGGCCCGTGCCCGTTCCCGGCCTCCCGGGCACAGGGGTTTTTGGGCTCTCTCGCCGTGCCAGGGCTGGCCGCGCTCCCCGTGCGCAGGCTCCGAGCCCACGACGCCGCGGACACGCACGCGTCTCCGGGCGCTGATGCTCCCGAACCCACTTTGGAGCGCACCGAAGTGGGGCCCTGGTAACCAAGGCTGAGCCCCAGCCAAAAAAGATGAAAGCAGGGCAAGCCAAAAAAGCTGAAAATTGGCTAAGTGCTGTGCTGCTTACGCCACCGGCGTTACGCCACGCTCCCGGCCGCGGCTGCCCGTTCCCACCCAAACAAACACCCCCTTGGGCGGCTTTCGCCCCCGCTACGGGGGCCTGGCAAACCCCCGGGCGGTTCTG